AAAATCCAATCAGTGGTTTTTGTGTACTAAGCTGTATAAGTTACTATAGTTTTTTGACTATCCCACGGAAACTCTTTAATTTTCCGGGATGAAAAGTAGCTGATTTGTTTTTGTCATGTATGAACTATGTAAAGTTTCATTAAAATCCAATCAGTAGTTTTTGTGTACTAAGATGTATAAGTTGTTATAGTTTTTTAACTATCCCACGGGAACCCTTTAATTTTCCAGGATGAAAAGTATCTAAGATGTTGCCCGGGGATATAAGGTACCACCATGCAAAATTTCATTTAAATAGGTCCAATAGATCCGGAGATTAGCCCGTACAAAGAGAAAAACAGATAAACAGCTCGCTCGGGTTCGTCCATACATACGAATATGTTGTATTATCTCTTTAACCATTTGTCCAAATTATATGCAGTAAAAGGGAAAAGTCTTTTATTTTAAACATTTTAGACGATAAATTTACTTATTTTGATAAGAATTCATAATTGTTGATAATATGACCAATAAACATGACCTACCGATTTAAATTATTTTTTTAATATAAAAAACTACTTTTTGTGACTTAAATATAAAAGTTAGACATATGCTGTCGCTGACTTTTTTGTAGGCATTATTAAGCTCTACAACTTTTCTCTAGACCGTAATCATATATCTCTCATCGTTAAGGCAGCGTTCGTAAGAAACGTTTTCGTTCGACCGTTTTTTCTCCGACTTACTTTGCAAATCCGACTACCACGAAAAAGCCTTTTCATTATTCGGGTTAATATATAGCCTATGATACTCAAAAAGAACGTGGCTTTCTATTGGTAAAAGAATTTTGAAAATCGGTTCAGTAGATCCAGAGTTTACCCCCTACAACGTCACAAACTCACAAACTCCCAAGATCACAAACTTTACCTCTTTATAATATTAGTATAGATGACGAACGCATATAGGACAAAAATACTAACAAAATTTATAATTTTGGGTCTGCATAAGCGTATGCAGAATGACTCAACAAAGTTTTATCATTATCAAATGATTTAGAGTGCAAACATACAAAGAAACATACATTTTATTTATATAGATAAAAGTTATATTTGAAATAATAAAAAATATTGGGCAACCGAGTGAAGTGGGTTCAAATCCCGGTCTCGCACCTCTGATATTTTCATTCGCGAGTCATTTTCAATACGATTACCACTTGTTTTACGGTAAAGAAAAACATCGTGAGGAAACCTGTTTTTCTGAGCGAACCTAGCAAGTTTTCGAAAGATATATGAGGTACGCCAACCCGCACTTGGCCAGCGTACTGGACTATGGCCCGATTCTTTGAATTGAAGGGAGGCCCGTGCTTAGCAGTGGAACGTTAATCCCTCAACGACCGCGGGCACGCCGGTGTTACAATTAACAATGAATTTCTTAGAAATTTAATTAATTTCTTAGAAATTTACCTGGAGGAGTTAAAAAGGAATACAATACATTTATGTGCAGTAGAAGAAGATTCCAAGATTAGTCAATTCTTGAATCTGAAATCGGTATGAAATAAAATACTTCGAAGAAAGAATATAGAGATCTGAAATATAATATAAGAAGCCGCATAAGAAAGCTCTAAGAGTACTCTATATTATTTGTATAAAAAAAAAAATACTGTCAATATGTATAATATAAAAATAGATATGTATTATGTAGGATCTATTTTCGTCTAATAAAGAATCAAAAGCTTCATTTTTGAACTCGTTCTAATTTAATTGAACTTGGTAGGGTATAGATACGACGATTCCATAATAAATAACAGATAAATTGTCGCAGATTCAAAATTGACGGATATTCCCGGACGGATTTAAATTACTCGTGTTTAATGATATCTTCGGTAGTGGATTTAGGCTTAGGCCCGTGAGGCCCGGGCCTAGGGCGGGAAATTTTGAGGTGCGCCAAAATTTTTAAGACGACTAAACTTTAGTCTGTTGCGTTCTTTGTAAACTATAAGACCAAATTTTAAGGTTTATTTTCGTGCGCTCTTACAATCTAAATATAGTACCATTTCAAGGGTACAATTTCTTTGCTCAAATAATTAATCTATATATACTGTTACGAAAGAAAAAGGGCGCCATATCGACTTGGCCCTAGGGTGCCATCAAACCTAAATCCATTACTGGATGTCATAGGTACTTGGCACATCGCAAAGCTCCTGTATAAATTAAAGTTTTCAGTTGAAGTATATAGGATATAGACTTTTATAAATTAAAGGATGTAAGGACTATGTTTAATTAATCAATAAAAAAATCATAAAAAATCAATACGCAGTATTTTGCGGTGTAATCGTTAGTCAACCTTAAAATACTTATCGGGAAAATATGCACGTACTCTATTACATGGTGCTATTTACAAGCAAAAACATAAAGAGATATTAGAGCTATTATAAGATATGCATAGGGTGGGCATGTTTATACTTGTATCTATTTAAAGATTAACAATAAAACACTACATTGGCGACAATCCAAAGTTCAAATAGAAAAGTCAAAAGCTAAGATTCACCCTATAACTGATTAATTAAATTTAGTAATAATAGTATATTCAAAAAATAAGTAAATAATATATTTTTTTAATATTTATTATATTTAATGTCAATTATTACATGATAAAATCAAACAATTACAGAAAGATTGAAAAAGATCGCAATTTTGCGATCGCGTGATGACTTCCACAATGTGGAAACTAGAAAAAGCTGAAAAGAAAGAAAGGACTAGCGGTGACTGTTTCACTATTTACTTATTATTCATATATTCGAGCTATTCGACAACGTTTATGACAGTGTTATGTACGATTGAGCTGTTATAATAAATTCTCTCTAGCTTAAAAAACTGACCAAAAGTATAAAAATATTATTAATTCAATTTCTAGTTATAGTTTTTTGAAAAAAGAATATATACTTAATATACCTACATTAAAATTCAAGGAATTCAAATTGGAATAAAAAAATCCACAGATCTCGTGTCTGCCACGACCTTAGAGTACATTGAAAATAAATCTGCCAAATGAACTTAATTAAATTTTCAACCGACTTCCTCAAAAAGGACGAGGTTTTCAATTCGGCTGTATGTTTTTTTTATGTCTGTTACCTCAGAACTCCGTCATTTATTAACCGATTTGGACAATTTTTGTTTTATTTGAAAGTGCTAGCCCATACAAAGCAAAGCACACCGACTTCGAAAATATTTGATTAGGTATGTATAGTAAATGAAAACTACCAATCAGTTATTTGAAACTTTTTAGTGCTTTTCTTGAAGTCGGTTTTTATTTTTTTGTTCAAAAGTTTTTATTTTAAATTTAGTCCGAAGTCATATCTCTAGGGTTTCTTTTTTATTTTTTCGATATCTTATTTCATTTCGAGATATGATTTTTTATTCTGACTGAAACCGAGCTAAGAACGACCGCATTTTTCTCACTTTTTCGATTAAAAAAAAAGCCTTTGAGTGTTTTCAAAATTTTTTTTGCATTTTGTAGCCCTCATTCAGACGCATCTTTTAACATCCCAATTAACCACGTAGTCCCAAAATCCACGACACCAGGGCGATGTCGCATTTTCGCTGAAAATCGGGCCTATACTGAAGCGACAAAAAAACATATTCAAAGTTAAAAATTTTAGTTAATAGGTAGGTATATCATATTTAATATTGTAAAATCATGATTAGTAATTTTATTATTTAGCTTTTGTTTTGCACGTATTTTTGTTGTTAAACGATTTTAAGATAGTTTTTATGTTGATATCACCTCCACGCCTATCTTAGTAGTCACCTAGCCCTATAAAAAATATTTTTATAGAGAACGGACGAACGAAATGAAGTAAAAAACGGAGATAATCCGTATTAATATTATAAATGTGAAAATTTGTGAGTATGGATGTTTGTTACTCTTTCACGCCAGAAAATCTGAACGGATCTGGATGTTTGGCACAGAGATAGATTATAGTCTGGAATAACAAACACATACTTTTTATCCCGGAAAAAAGTACGGTTCGCCTGGGATAGGCATGTTTTTGTTTTCCAAGGGAGGGGAGAACCCGAGCGAAGCGAGGGTGAACCACTAGTGAACATAATACATATTATTTTTCGTATTCAATATAATGTAAGACAATTTTGAACTCTGACCTGGATTTCATCTCGTTGAGCTTAGAATGTAATTTATTCATTTCATTTGCAAAGTTGTTCTAATATAGTAATAAATAATCATGATTATAATTAATAAGGTAGATAAAATTAGATAGCTTAAGCATGATTTAAATCTTTTTATGTTAAATAATTTGTAAAGATTACGTGTGAAGTTAATACACGTTGCCTTGATGCATAGTAAGTGCAAGGTGGTGCATTGCCCTCGCCCGGTGTCGTTGCCAAGTTTGCTATGTACTAACACATAAACGCAGGTCTATTACTCAATATTGCGTTAAAAACAGCTACTTAAATTACAAAATTTTAATTCTGTTATATAAAACTTCCTAATAGGTTCCTAATAAGTAGGTACAGTAAAATACTGTTCAATGTATGCCACTAGCGTAAGGTATCAAAATTAAATCAATTTGCCGCAACGTCTTAGCAATCATTCTCGAATTTCTATTAAATAACCAAACAGACCGCATAATCGTTATTGTAATTTCCTGTTATATATAAATTATAGCAATGAAATGGAATTCGTTAACAATTAGCGACCCTATATAGTTAAGTAAATTTTGGTAAGCAATCAAAATGCAAATGTCAGAACCAGGGAGACGGTGCGTGGCTCTTATCCTTTGACCCACATCTCCGCAAGGACGTGGCCTCGCGTCTACAAACAACCCCAGCTATCGTTACCTAAATACCATCTGTCAAAATTGTACTCTGTATATATAATTATTTTAATTACTCACGACTAATTACCGAGTTTGCGACCGTACATCGTATATGCTAATATGATTTTGTTTTAATATAATAAAAAATATGTAGATAATTAAGAACAAATCTAGCACAACCCTTTATCACTTAAAGTATAACATTGGTCAGAGTGAATAAAAAATTTAAAGAGTAAATTCTGACCTTAAAAGTCTTGTAAGAAGAAACCACATACGATGCTCCGTCTTCCAACTCCTCCAGCCTGTACTTCCGATCCCCATCCATCCCAAAAATGAATCTTGCTCCTCTCGGCAACTCCAATCTTTCGGATAATCTATCCAACAGCGCATCCATAGATACCAAATCCCTGCCCAGTTTAAAACGAAACTCTACTCCAGGGTGAAATGGATCACCATTTCTGTAAAACGTGACTCGTCTTGCTTTCCAGTAATTAAGATTTGCGTAGCGACTTGTGGGTTCGGGTCGAGTAGGGCGAGCTGTGGCTTCCGATCCTTCGGAGACATCATCAGGCCTGTGTGGAGGTGATGGTGGTCGGGAAGGACGCCAGTCGTTGGACTTCTCATCATCAGACGGTGGTTGAGGATCAGGTTCAGTAGCAGGAGGCGGATCGGGCGCAGGGGATGGCTCCGCGACCTGGGGACGAGGGCGTTGACGTGGTTTGGTTACGCGACGCGACATTCCGCTAGACCACTCGGCCGTCTACTGGACGCCGCGTTGCGCCTACTTAGTTTATCAACTGATAGATACTACGCATGTGATGGATAGATTTCATTCATGGAACCGATAAGTGGCTATTGGTGATGTTATTTTTACTATATGTGTTATATATATACATATTTAGATAAATGCATATTGTGTTAATGAAATATATTTAAAAATCGATTAAGTTTTATGACAAGCCCTATTGCATATTTATTGTGATTATTAGTTAATTGTCCAAAAAGAAATATTTAAGTGTACTGAACAAAGCAAAAATGTAGTAAGTACAGACTACATAAAATACTGAATAAATAGACATGTATTCTCAATTTATGCGAACATATTTTCTCAACTGAACTTATAGCAATTTAAAGTTTCTGTCATAATATAATATTTGGCCAGCGTTTATTCATTTAAGATCGTATAGATATGCTTAACGAGTTCAACCCTCAGTGTGACTAAGTAACTGTAGTCACGATTGCTGCAACATTATTAAATTTCGATACTTCTAAAGTACTTTATTTTATGAATCATGAAATAAACGTGAATAACCCAGACATCTAAAGGTGACGACTGCCTTTGGTAATTCACCATTATAACGATCAATATACTGAATAGGTAAGTAAAGATTAAGTTTGGCAAGTATATAATCTTTATTTTTATTACTTAGGTATATGTTTGATACCTATAGGAAACAGTTTTTAACAATTTCACTTGAAAATATTAATCTGGTCTGGCAATTTTAGGCTTAGCATAATTAAACTGAATACTAAGTGAGTTTTAAATATCAAAAATTAAGCAAAAGCAGTAAAAATCTTTATTAACTTCTATTTATTGATATTAAGATAGACTAAAAAATATATAAATTTTAACTTTGCTAGTTTATGTTTATAATTAAATAATAAAGTTAAATAAAAAGTTTTTGTTTTAATAATGAGCAGTAGCTTACCATCGCCGCAGAATTAGGCTCCTCCGTAGCCATCCCAAGTAAAACTACGAAATCACTGACACTGTTAAAAACTTCAAATAGTGTAGTAAATTCAAGCACAGATCGGAAATTGCCGCCAAAACTAAACCGTTCGTACTACATTTTCAGTATTTTTTGGATATCGCACATTATACCTGTATTTAAATGTAAAAGTAGCGGTGGGTTAATTGTTTGAATGATTAATAAAAAGTGTTAGAATAAAGGATTTTCCTTGAATCAGGAGTGTAGTCGTCCGGTTATGTTTTGAGAGCTGGATCGAGTGACCGTTCGTTGTGGTGGTAGCGTGGCTGGGTGGCGGCCACCGCCCTCGTGGGCGACGCGATGGAAAGGGCTGTAGGCTTGCTATTACCTACTTATTATAAAATAATCTTTAATATTTCGTTTTATTTGTTAATAGTTTTGTTTATAAGCAAGACTCTTCGCTCTAGTGTACTTAGCCAGCATCAGCCATGTAAATTTTTATATATTTTTTCGATGTTTAAATAGTTATTCTGCTATTCGGGGCCGAGACAAATCTAACAAACCAAACATCATAAAAATCTTGAGCTTTAAATGGTGTAACTAACCCTACTTTGCTTTATATAGGTACATATAGATACTTATAGCTCAAAATACTTGCGGTCTTCTTAAACTAGAATTATTCTTAAGATAGACCGTTTTAATGCCTTATGTATAATTGAAACCTGTAAAAACCTGTAAAGTGGCCGTGCCGTTGTTACGTGTATACCCGGCGTCAATCGGTCATAGTCATATACACAGCTAGTTTTTCTGTGGCGTGCTATATTTTTTCACCTTACCCCTGTTAACGGTTGTTTTGCGCTGTTTTTTATCGGTGCCATAATTATTAACGTATTTTTTCTTGAGAATTCATTTTGTATTCAGAATTACCAATAAACTTAAACAACAAAGAGGGTAGGTATTAAGTAGGTCAAATTAAATGAAAATTAAAATATCTTTTATTTTCACATAAATTCTTGGTGGAAAATCTAAATACGTAATTAATATCAGTCCAGTGAATAGAGACAAAAAGAGAGACTTCCTACTAGAAAGGCTGGGAAAGCCCATCAGGATGAGTAGAGACGCTGCTCCCCCAAACCTGCTCAAGTCCACCTCATGCAGATGCACAACTGGTTGTATGGGAGTGTGTGGCTGTAGAAATGCGAGACAACAGGAATGAAGTCATCGTCGACGACGAAGATGACGCCGATCTAGTAACTTCACTATTTGACGAAAATGAAAACCCCGACTTAATTAACTCACCCTCTACGAAACGAGCGAAGGCCTGTAAATTTGCTTTCTTTTCAGTTTCAGTCAATACTTCCGATTTTTGTATGATTATTACTTGCTTACCTGCCTTTAGCTTTTAGTTTGTTAGTAAATGAATCTTTAAAAAATGCGTTGTTCAACAACTGTGTTGGTCCCTCTCACCAGTCAGTATTCAAGTGAAATAGAATGCGTATTGCGCTGTAACAAGTAAAAAACTCAATTATGATTAGAATTACTGGAAAATTTGTATTAATGCTCTTAAATAAAATTAAGTAAATACGTATTTTAGCATTTTTCGAAATTCATCCCATAAGGGAGTAAAATAGGGGATGAAAGTTTGTATGAAACTACCTTTTTTGAGGTTTTTTTGTAGTTTTAAAGCGAGCGAAGCCGCGGGTGCTGCTAGTCTTATATATTTAAGAAATAAAGCTACAATTATTACCATTATTATCACATTAATTATATAACATGTTATAGTATAGCTAAAAAATATTTTAACTAAGTTACTAACATATTAATTATTAATATTATAATTTATAATCTTAGACATGCTTGTAGTACACAATACAGATATATATTTAATTTCTCATTCCACTTAGATTCCAATGTTCTTCTAGAGTTTAGTTAGTTTAGTTTTTTTGTTTCTACTTACTTATGTATTACCTAGTCTATTCATTATTTCTTATAAATTATATATTTTATAAAGGACGAATAATTATGTTTATTCGTCCTATTAAAGGATTCTTCTTTTCATTCCTTTAATAGGACGAATAGATATTCCGTTAATTTATTTATTTTAAAATATTTACACGAAATTATTAATTATAAATCGCATAGTAAAATTCTTACTTTGAATTATTCTAACAACAGATTAGCTTTTTACTTTTATTTTTTATATGAAACTGAGTTACTCTCGTAAGATTAATGTGAATATGTCGTTATAGAGGGCACGCGATGTACGTAGGTACTTAATAAATTTTATTTTTAGTGTGACTATTCTATGCTGAATTTGCTTGCTTGAAACTTTTTTATGAAATGTACTAAAAACTACTATATACTACTACAAAAATTATCAAACGACTCATTATTATTTAAAATGGATAAAAAATCGATGTATATCTATTATTAAAAATTTATTTGTGATATTTTATGTTTATATAAAAACACATTTGTAATCATTAACGATTACATGATTTGAACCTTATAATACCATAAATTTGTTTTGAAAGTGTAGGTAATAGTTGATTTTGTATTGATTACCAAAAAACTTTGTGTGTATTAAAATAACTAAAGATAAATGAAATGAGACCTTAAACTACGTCAGTTATTAAAATCAATGATTTATTATACCGATATGAGTATTAGTTGCAGTTTACGACACTGAATATCGTACAAAGAAAAGTTTTGAATATTGACATCAAATAATAATTATTAAATAATGTAAATTTATATTTTATATATATATATATATATATTTCTTAACAGTGTACAGACAGAAGTAGAAATAAAAAAATGTTTAATATTTATTATTTTATTTTTAACTGTGCATGTAAGTGCAAATTATGCATAGTACCTAGTAAGCAATTACACGGTAATTCTTCATATAATATAATAAATACTTGCTATGTGAGTGCCATACGCATTTGCATAAGAAATTACGTTCGTAATTGTACCTACCCTATTTTCTGTTTAAAGTGTTATAAAATAGATTAACAATAAATTTAATAATAGGTGCATATTATATAATTACATATTATGAGTAGAGTAATAAAAAATTACAGCGAAATTTCTTGGAACACGTAAATATCTCGGACAGATTAAATAAAGAAGTTTAAAAGCCACCTCTGATATTTTCTGAAAAGATATTTAAAAGGAATATAAGTAAAAATATACCGTCTTGGCTTTATAAAAAAGTTAAAATTTTCATTTTTACTTTATTACAATCGAAAAAATACATTAGTACGACAGCAGCTCTACGAATGTGCTACGCGCTCCGTAGCACTTTTGTAGCGTTTGTAATGTCGCGTTTCTTTAAGATAGTCTCTATTAATGTCAAGTCCGTATGTTTTTATGTCAATTATTATAAAAATAGTTAAAATAATTTAAAATCTCTTAAATTTTTTTAATATTTATAATAATAATAATACTCTTTATTGTACACCAAACAGAAAGTACATACAGACAGTAATTAAAAATAAAGAAAGATGCACAGTAGGCGGCCTTATCGCTTAAAGCGATCTCTTCCAAGCTACCAACTACCAGGTAAAGGAGAGTGTAAGAGAAATATTTATATTATAGGCAAAACAGTAGGGAACTGAAATTACTCTCAAACTAAAAGTAGAAGTTTTTACTTAATAATATATGTATGTACCTACTAAATGCCTATGTTAGGAATAAAGTAGCTCTCTAATAAAAAAAACAATTTTGATCTAGTACTTTAACGTCATTTTACATTTTTTAATACTACTACTTAGTGCTTAGTTAGTAAGTGGTAGCCTAAAAATGTTTTAAATTACAAATTTCAGTCAAATCAGTTAAGCCGTATTGATTTAGACACGTATTTCTTTTTGTTTCAATATAATGAAGTGCTACTTAGATACCTATTCGAAAAGAGCCAATAACGGAAGCAATAAAAAATCGTTTGAATAAAATTACGTACAAACTTAATACAACTTAATACTGTATTGCAAGGCAATAAGAACTATTTTAGCATATTAGTTATAAA